TGCGCGTGTGTGTCGGGGCCGCGCGCGCTGAGGAGGTAGAAGGAGGCGCGCGTTCGCGTCACATTCTTCAGATGATCCGCTAGATCATCATATAATCATCAGAAACACCGACAGACAATCAGCGGAGCGGGAACGAGGTACGACACACACACACACACACACACACAGAGGACACCAGACACCGATACACCGGCGGGAAACCGGAGAGAGAGAGAGAGAGAGAGGAGATCATCTGAGAGATGCTAAAGCTAAAGCTAGAAACAAAAGACACACAGAGATAAACACACGCACACTGTACACACACTGACAGACAGATGCATCTTCATCATCATCATCATCTCATGAATATCCATCAGTCTGTTTTTCGCGCTCAGTTCTGGATTCATTGTGTTTGATGTGAATCCTGAGCATCAGTGACTGGTTTCTCCACGATTCTTCTCTTATTGAGCGATTCATCATTTATTCTGGACACAAAAAATGTTTAATGATTTTTCATCAAAGTGTAAATAACTCTGAGACGACTTTCCTTTTCACCTCGTGTCATCCAGGTCATCTGCTGGTTAATGTTGACCAGTGGTTAATTAGATACTCAGTTATAGTTATATAAACTTACCATTCAGGTCTGATAGCCACGCCCACACTCCCACCATCCAATCCCGTGCTGACGGAGGAGCTCAAGCCCCGCCTACTTCTTTGTGTCTCTGATTCACTCCGAGTGACGTCACATGAGTGTAGTACTGATGATTTACCTGTGAGTTTATGACTTTATTAATCACCCAGATTAATTGGCCGTTTCACGTTTGTATGGATCTGCATCCAGATCTCAGAACAACACAGAGTCACATCAGACTCTTCATCAGCTGAACCCCTTCGGGCTAAAATATTTACTCAAAGTCCCCTTTAGATTTTTTATATTTTAATAAATGATCTGCACATTGGCGTGTTCATGGTTCTCTGATGTCAGTTGATGGTCACGTGACATGCAAGTAAACAAAATATTTAATCTTTTTATTAAGTGTTTTAATTTGATTAGTTTTCATCTTAAAATTGATTTATTTGAATGTAACATTTTTATGGTTTAATTTTTACTAAGCATTTTTTTTTCTTTTTTTGTAATACCGTTAACTCTTTTGAAGAGATTTTTTAAGTTTTAGTGTTTTTAGCGAAAATCGGATATAATTTAGCCGTACATTTTCTCACCATGAAAATAGCCACAGAAGCGTTAAACACAAACAATTTAATGTTTATTAAATGTTTTATTTTTATTTTAAAAATATTGGTTTTTAAATTTAACATTTTCATGATTTTATTAATGTGAATGTTTTATTTTGTTTGTTTTTATTTTTAAATAATTTATTTCAACATGTCATTTCTACGAATTAATAGTCCGTTTTTTGTTTTATTTTTTGGGATGTAACGATTCACTCAACTCACGATTCAATTCACATTTTTTTTTAACAAAATGAGATTTAAATTAAATTTGTCCTTTTATTATTGCTTGGACAAAATACTGCACGTTTCTTTGTGAAATTGAAATATAACACTATAATAATATACTAATATAGCACTTATAGCATATAATTACTCTATTGTTGGTTTTGATTTCTTCTATTGTCCTCATTTGTAAGTCGTTTTGGATAAAAGCGTCTGCTAAATAACAAAATTTAAATATAATGTAAATGTAAATAACAAAACATTTACAAATACATTTACATTTAGTCATTTTGCAGACGCTTTTATCCACAGCGACTTACAATTTGGGGATACATAAAGCGATTCTTCTTAAAGAGGCAAACAGATACAGGAAGTGCTTGTAATACCAAGTTTCTAGACATTGTTCAAATAAGTACAAGCTAGAAAGAGAAGGAATAAATAAAGAGAGAGAA